AACCATGGCGCAGTGCTCATATTTTTTTTTTTTTTTTTTTGAGCAAATGCGAAATCTAGAAAGCTGGGATTTCGAAGGCCTGATCCAGGCTTTGTGTTGATTATACTCGGAATCGACTTTCAGATCTTGACATCTACTAATACATGATTCGAGGCAGTCTTAGGTCAGGATTTAAACGGGGGATAGGAAATAATGCATGTCTCTGTATGTTGTTGTCTTTTTGAGTTCTCCGAATTGTTCTCGGTTGGCACGGTTGATGAAGCAGTGGTAATTTATAATAATATGCACGTTGACGTTGTTTTTGGCATGCTGCTGGTGTTGCATCGATCTCTTCAGTTTTGCAGTTAAAAATCAGTTACGAACAAATGAAATTTAGTTACTTTTTTTAACTTTATTGACAAGTCTGCCATGAAAATAAACGTCATTATTTACTACTTTATTACTACCATTATTATCGTTTCTATTATTATCGTCACTACATTTATAATCTTACTGTTATTATTATTGCCATTATTAAAGACCGGATTGTTGGGCTACCACTGACTCATATTGTAGCTGGAGTACGAAGGCTCAGTGGAATAGGTTACCAGCGTAGGATGAAATTGATGCAGTATAAGCTTTAAATTATGTGCCGAGATAAGTCACGGAGAAAGAAATCTGTCATAGAAATTGTATGAAGAGGAATGTGATTCATTTAATGTTGTTCAGTTATTGGTTGCTGAATGTAGCAGTACCAGTTTTATTGTCGTTTATATTTAAAACAAACTGGCTTCTTGCACGATTTAAAGCGCTTATTTGTACCAGTGTTTTCGTTCATACTCGTTCCCTTTCATCAAGCGTTTTGATAATTTCACATATGTTTGCTTTTAGTAGATGCGGTTTTGCTAGGATATAATGTCAGTGTTACAGACGTGGCGATGGAGGGCGTTATTCGATGCGATTTTCCGGTGGTACCACAAAAGCGGGTCATCCAGCATCAACGTTAATTGGCAAAAATGAAAGGCCACCTTTCCGTGTTGGTGGTAGCAGCAAAGCTCAGGTAATTCATCGCTTGGGCAACAGCATCTCAAAAGCCGCCGCACTGTCTCAGGATTTCTTTCTCTGCAGCTCACTAAAGAATTGGGATAGCTTAGCGAAATCTAAGTCAGGGCACTTAGTTCGTAGGCTAAAGGCAGCATCTTACAGCAGTCTAAAAAGTAGCAGGGTTATGAGTTGCTACATCATGTAGTAAATAAACTTAGCTCCATGAGTCCTATTAGTGAGGTCTAGTCAAGATGATGAGTTTAGCTTAACTTAATGATCTGTGACAGGTTGGTTAGGCATGGTATTCGTTATGTCCTCTTCCTTGACACTCTGGATTAAATTTGCTTGTGCCGGCTCTCGTTTATTACCTCTGTGGTGGAAAATAGTCGAATCATATCCGCAGGTGGGAGAAAGTAATGTAAACGAGGGGTTTTGTAGTTTGATCTGTATGCTTCATCTCTAACTCTCGGTGCTCATCTAGCACTGCACTATACTTATACTGGTAGTTTTGCTAGTACTCCTGTGTATTTATAGACAAGTGGTACAGGATCGCACAAGGAGAGCGCCGAGATGACGGCGTGGCTAAGGCGAAAGGATTATAACCCGATGAAAGCTGCAGCCGAAGCTAAAAAACTTCAGCAGTTGAAAGCACGGTGCTCCCTTCATTAAAAGTTTTACTAAAAAAGGCGTGCTTTTCAATATGTCATTTTTACGCAGTGCCCTTTTTTTGTAACATCTCGTGGCAGAATTGTTTTCGAACAGTTTGTTGGCCCATCTCGATGGGGAAGTGGTATCGGTCTGTGCTGAGCGTGTTACACACTCATATGCCTTCGGTACTTGAAAGGACGGAGTCCAGCAGTATCGTTGTCGGCATGGGATTACCGAAGATAAAAGCGTCTTTGCGTAGAACGTAGTAATCCCTTAGTGGATGAAATAAGAGGAATTATTGCATTTTCATCGTCCAATAGCAACTTTTATTCCTAAATGCTTTTCACAAACAAATTTAAATGTTGGCATCTTTTGTCAGCTTGCGAAAGATCTCCGAGTGTCCGACTTGTCAGAGTGACGATGAGTAAGCTTCTTTCAAGTTTTGCAGATTTGCATGATTGTTGTTGTGTGCAATTTGTCGGAGTAGTTAAAGTCTCAGAATTTTTAAGAAGACATATTACGAGTACATGAGTGTATGTGTTTCTCTTTGTTTTTGTGTATTGTTTGTGATTGTGTAACTGCATATAAATAGGGAAATAATCCACCTTTTTCACTTTTTTGGACTTCGTATTTGCATTTTGCTTCCATCTAAATTATTTTACATATCATTTCACAGATTACCACTAAAAAAATTTCATGTTGTTCTCCGCGCACTCAGACTAGGAGACAGGATTTTGAAGGGCTTACTATTCTGAAAAATTCAATTCTCTTGTACAGTTTGTTGTCTCCTGCGCTGCTTAATCGATGTTTGCTTTGCCTATTATTAAAGGCGGGAACGTTTTTAAGTGCAGTATTGCAAAAGTTTTTCAGGGCTGATAAATTTATGTCAAGTCGTTCAATTTCATTTCATCAAGGAGCTCGCCCATTTACTGGCTTCTCACCAGTACGTTTTAATTGATAAGATGTTTTCTCTATCATGCAGTCTATAAATTAGTGACTTTGCACGGGTACCCGTGACTTTTTTAACGCTGATTAACATAAAATACTCATGCTGAAAGCTTGTTACAAGAAAAACCAATTTTCTGATTTGAAATTTATTATCATCATAACTGTGGCTCTAAATCGTTGTCTGCTTTCTTCCCAAGTATTCTTTGCTTAAGAGAGACGTAGAAACTGCCGTGAGTTTTTGCTTTGATGGGCTTACTTCCAGGAGTTTGAACTGACGCTGCATTCGAAATGCTTTAATTCATATTTGTAAAATTTGAGGGCTGAGAACATTGAGTTGTGCAAATTTCATTTACTTCAGGACACCTCCCTCCGTCGTAGAGCTGGATATTGCTGCTATTGGTTTTTGTTGAAAGAGTGAGTGGGGAGAAAAGTGGCGTAGGCTACAACTGTTTTTCATTTTTGCAATATTCCGTACTGGACCTCAATGTACAGCTGATCGAAGATCCGTTTTCAAACAGAACGTAAAAACCTAGAAAAAGCTGTTCTTTCTCTGTCGTTCAAAAAGCTGTTCCTTTCTTGATGTCTGTAGTTTGTTGGTTGTTTGATTTCTTAATTAGTTATTTGACTGCAGATTGTTCGAGATTTGAGTCGTGCACGCCACAATAGGTCGCAGGATGATCTGCTCGCGGATGATGTCGCTTGTGGACCAGAAACAATCCTTGCCAGTTATTCAAAAGGTATTACTAAGGACCTGAATAAACTGCGATCAGTCGACGCTGCAAAAGACAAGGTTATGACGCTCGTTATTTGTCGTGATATGGAAAACAGCAACTTTGTAATTGGGTGATAGTTCTCATTTTGACGGAAGTATTTCCTCTGCGATTTAATGTTCCGTGTGAGTATACAAATGATCGCGTATGCTTATTATCGAGGAAGGCGGAAAATTGAGTGAATTCGTATGTAGAAGCCTTTAGACCATCTGCATAAAAATATCCCATTCTGTAATTCTACTGTTGTATCAGAAAGAGTGAAATAAGGCGTAGAGTTTTGCTTGAATTTTACTGCACATTTCACAGTAGTGTCTGAAAGTGTAGGGCTCGCTGGATCACAGGTCTTCCCAGAATATTTCCGGGATGTTTTGGAAGGGAAGTCGTGGCAGTTCTTTAGACTGAACAAAAAACTGAATTGCAGGCTTGTATGAATGGCCTTGAAAATGCTGTGCAGCAGCTCACAGTGAAATGTACTCGAAGTATCGAACTGATACGGTAGGCCTCACCGTTAGTCTTCTGTTCTGCTCTGTTTATTTACTTTTTTTTTTTTTTTTTTTTTTTTTTTCCCC